GTCAGTGACTGCTTTAGTGTTAAAATATGGCGCTGTATTTTTAGGAGAGTGTGTTTATAATATCATTTTATGTAGATATCCACATTTATTTAATATTTTTCTTTTTTTCATAACTTTACACTTTTTAGGGATTTTTTTATATTTATTTACCAATTGTTTAATACTGCAGGCAATCATCTGACCCATAGGTGGCAGCCATCTCAAGCCAGAGGACGAGAGGACTCTAGCCGCCACGCATATCAAGGATTTAGAGTGAAAAACTTTGTTTTTACGGGTTAATTTTTTGTTATTCAAAACCCTCTGCTCGACTCTGAAATATCGAAAAAAAACTTTCAGAGACAGAACCCAAACCTAGCAATTCTCAGCTTTAATTTCCTTCACCGTCTAACGCTCTCTTATATCAAACGAAATAAGACAAATAAAAACTCGTCTTATATTTAGAACGTCACCAGGCAACAGGCGTGTTTATGGGCCGCTTAAACATCGAAATTTGTGGACCTTGAAATAAAAATCTCAAGATTTTCTGATTTTTCTTCCGTGTTGTTTGTGTCCTAGAAGCTACCTGGATACCAAATGGTATCTTCTACCTTGTCGGCATTTACTGTAGAAGTTTTTGAGATGTACAGATCAAGGTCTTTATTTATATAGATAGAAGATAGATTCATCTCCTCCTGTTTTTTGATGTACTAAAAGCTACGTGTACCAAATCTCAGCTTTCTACCTTGTCGGGAAGTACTCTAGAAGGTTTTTGAGACATACAGATTAACGTCTTTATTTTATAGATTATCACTACCGCAGTAGATAATCGATTATCCGACAGCTTAGGCTTTTTCTAATCGTCATTATGTAAACTAGCTTATATTTTTCTGCGCAATTATCACTACCGCAGTCGATAATCGAGAATTATCCGACGGCTTAGGATTTTCCTAATCGTCATTATTTAAAATAGCTGAACATTTTTGGCGCAATCTCTGATGACATTCTGTTTATGGGTGTTGTTATGTGTGTAGTGGCATAGCGCTGGCTGCTGGCGAAAAATGTGGATCTGCGGTCTACGGCAGTACTGACGTCAGCAGGCCGCGATATGCACGGGAGCGGGGCATCTGGGGGAACGGCAGAGGTCGCAATCGGGTACCCGATACCCGTACCCTGCCCGATACCCGGCTACCCGTACCCAGCTGGGTACGGGTACCCGTTTTCGACCCTGGTGCGTCCGGGTATGGGTACGGGTAGGCCGTGAGTCACTGGTGAGTCACCGTTTGTCACTCATTTCCCAACGTCTTGTCTCTTCTCACAATTTAAGTTCCTAGAATCAACCCACCCGCGCCTGCAACGTGGCTTCATCCCAGAGGTCGCAATCGGGTACCCTATACCTGTACCCTGCCCGATACCCGGCTACCCGTAACCGGCCGGGTATCGGGTACCCGTTTGCGACCCTGGTGCGGCCGGGTACGGGTAAGGAATCATAACCCATCTTCTTGGTTCTTTCGGTAAAGTCAGTAGAAGGGAAGTAATAAAATAATAAAATAAAACCCCCCGCCCACCTCCTACGCATTTCACAAGTAGTACTAATCACATACCTACATTTCCCATAAATATGCTAAATTCCTCTTGATATGCAAATTCTTTTGTCAAGGCGCCCTTCCCCCCTTCCAACCCAGCAGCTTAAATCTATGCTCCAAGCGTGTTGGTGTTTCATTCAGACGCTGTCTCCCCGACAGACCTGGTCTTCACCTGAGGACGGCTGCTTGCGTTGTGGCCGAAACGTCGTGAGAATTATTTTATTATGTTTTACTTTTATTATTTTATTACTTCCCTTCTACGTGACTTTACTGAAATAACCAAGAAGATGAATCCCTGCAGTCACGAAAGCTTTAAATCGAGAATCAAAAAAACCCGTTTGCGACCTCTGACTCGTACACACACACACAGAGAACTCCCAAAGAGAGAGGGGGGTGGGGGGGGGGTGATACGGGAAGGAGGCAGGCAGGGGGGGGTGCACGCTTGCGAGTGGCGTCACGGACTCCACTTTATTGTCGCTCGCGCAGACGCACGGCGACGATGGGTGCCGGGTGGTGGACGGGCCGCGCAAATCCGCGTGCTGAATCGTTACAACGCTCACGAGACCCACCACCGCCCCCCGTACACTGCAATCGTCGGGCTTGCATTGAGGCTCGCACAGAACTCGCACGAGACCCTACAGCAAAGCGCGACGCAAGGCTTGCTTGCGAACACACACACACGCATTTACAGATGCGCACACACACACACGCATTTACAGATGCGCACACACACACACGCATTTACAGACGCACACACACACACACGCATATACAGACGCACACACGCATTTACAGACGCACACACGCACACGCATTTACAGACGCGCGCGTGTGCGCACACACGCATTTACAGACGCACACACGCACACACGCATTTACAGACGCACACACACACACACATTTACAGACGCACACACACACGCATTTACAGACGCACACACACACACGCATTTACAGACGCACACACACACACGCATTTACAGACGCGCACACACACACACATTTACAGACGCACACACACACACGCATTTACAGACGCACACACACGCATTTACAGACGCGCACACACACACGCATTTACAGACGCACACACACACATTTACAGACGCACACACACACACGCATTTACAGACGCACACACACACGCATTTACAGACGCACACACACACGCATTTACAGACGCGCACACACACACGCATTTACAGACGCACACACACACACGCATTTACAGACGCACACACACACACGCATTTACAGACGCACACACACACACACGCATTTACAGACGCACACACACACACGCATTTACAGACGCACACACACACACACGCATTTACAGACGCACACACACACACACGCATTTACAGACGCACACACACACACGCATTTACAGACGCGCACACACACACGCATTTACAGACGCACACACACACACGCATTTACAGACGCACACACACACACGCATTTACAGACGCACACACACACACGCATTTACAGACGCACACACACACACGCATTTACAGACGCGCACACACACACACGCATTTACAGACGCGCACACACACACGCATTTACAGACGCGCACACACACACACGCATTTACAGACGCACACACACACGCATTTACAGACGCACACACACACGCATTTACAGACGCACACACACACACGCATTTACAGACGCACACACACACGCATTTACAGACGCACACACACACACGCATTTACAGACGCACACACACACACGCATTTACAGACGCACACACACACACGCATTTACAGACGCACACACACACGCATTTACAGACGCACACACACACACGCATTTACAGACGCACACACACACACGCATTTACAGACGCGTGCACACACACACGCATTTACAGACGCGTGCACACACACACGCATTTACAGACGCGTGCACACACACACGCATTTACAGACGCACACACACACACGCATTTACAGACGCGTGCGCACACACACACGCATTTACAGATGCATGCGTGTGCACACACACACGCATTTACAGACGCACACACACACACGCATTTACAGACGCGTGCGCACACACACACGCATTTACAGACGCATGCGTGTGCACACACACACGCACGCATTTGGAACCTATCCGTCGTGGCGAGGTTTAGGGGGGGGCTTTTACTGGTAGGAACGAAGTGAACCAGCCTACAATAGATTATATCGTCCGTCCGTCCGATGTCCGATTCGGTGTAGCAACATCGCCCCCTACTGCAAACACTTGGCAGGACCCTGCAAAAACCTTTAGACTCAGTGACGCTTTCCTGGCTAAACAAGTGTAACATTCCCTTATAATTCCCTGAGATAGTTTTTAAATAATTCCCTGAGATAGTTTTTAATTAAAACATTTAAATTAAAAATTAACTCACAGCGGCCTAAAGCCTACAACTAGGCCTCAAATTCTCCCTTCGTATCGTACCCCCGCCATTTCATTTTATTATAGCCATTCATTTATTCGTTCCTACCAGCCCACTCCGCAGGGACCTGTTCTCCAGTCTCCAACGAAACGTCAGCAGCAGCAGCAGCAGCATCTCTCCCCTGGGAAAACCGAGGCCGTCGGCCCTCGTGCGCGTGATTTACTCACGCTTTATATACACATTGTAATCGTCGCTATTGTACAGGAGTCGTTACGCATATCGAAGTGCACATAACGCATTGGGGCAATGTCGCCCGTGCCGGCGGGGGGGGGCCTGGGGGGGGGGGCTGGGGGGGGGGGCTGGGGGGGGCCTGGGGGGGGGGCCTCCAGCAACCCTGCCTCTCCGCGCCGCGTGGCGCCTGCTGGCTCCACACTCGGCGTCTGTGGTTCCTCCTCCTCCTCGCATCTCCAAGTCCTCGCTCTCAAAGTCCTCTCTCTCTTCTCTCTTCTCTCCGAGTCGTCCTCTCTCTCAAAGTCCTCCCACTCAAAGTTCTCCCTCTCTTCGAGCCCACACACTCTCTCCGAGAGCGAGAGGGCGAGCGGGGTAACCGTGTGGTGGCAGCGGTGGAACCCATCGGTTGTCACGGCAACCGCTTCGGGGTGACCATGTGGTGGCAGCGGTGGAACCCATCGGTCGTCACGGCAACCGCTTCGGGGTGACCGCGTGGTGGCAGCGGCGCAACCCATCGGTCGTCACGGCAACCGCTTCGGGGTAACCGCGTGGTGGCAGCGGTGGAACCCATCGGTCGTCACGGCAACCGCTCGAGACGTTTCTGCTCGGCGAGCGGCAAAAAAGAACGGTAACCCGTTGAGGTTCGTTGTCATCGTCGTCGTCGTTCCAATGCGGTCACCGGGTTGCGGCAACAACAACAACAACGACAACAACAACAACAACGACAACGACGAGGAAGAGGCGAAATAATGGAAGCAAAAGAAAACAACAACAACAACCGCCACCGCCACCGCCGCCACGTCGTCGGCCCGTCAGTGGCAGCCGCAGCTGACGGCCACCATGTCGTCGTACTGCTTGAGCACGACGTTGCCCGCCTCGTCGTAGTAGAGCAGGTTGATGGAGTAGAGCTCGTCCGGGACGCAGCACGGTGCCCGCACCGCCGACCCTCGGCCGCCCGCCGCCGACGAGGGAGGCCGCAGGGCCCGCACGACGCTCTGCACCGTCGCGTGGTTGGTAGGCCGCAGGGCGTGGCCCAGCGGGAAGGGGCACGCTCCGGCACAGGAGTAGGCGTTGTAACCGCGCGGGGAAATGACCCAGCCGGACCAGCCAACCTCCTGGAAGTCGACGTACATCGGGTGGCGGCGGCAAGGCCCGGAACCTTCCGACGATGACGACGACGCCGGCGGCGGCTTCGGCGCCTGCGGTCTGGCGGGCGAGTCGACCGGCGACGAGGAGGAGGTTGAGGAGGTGGACGGCTTGGGGAGGTTGCGGCGGGCCCGCGAGAGGCGGCGGAGGGCATCGGCGGCGTCGGCGTCGCCCGGAAGCTCGTAGTCTGAGAGGGTGGACAATGACGGCATCCAACGTTACTAACCTTCAATAGCTCCACCGTTACTGTCATGTCGTCAACCATCGCCACCTACTCTACACCACCACCATCTACTCCTCTACAGCACCACCACCTCCTCTACACCACCACCGCCTACTCTACAGCACCACCACCTCCTCTACACCACCACCGCCTACTCTACAGCACCACCACCTACTCTACACCACCACCACCTACTCTACAGCACCACCACCTCCACCTCCAACCACCTCCTCCTCCAACCACCTCCTCCTCCTCTAATCCCCTCCTCCAATGATCACCTCCTCCACCACCACCCACATCTCTAACACCTCTTCCTCCTCCTCCAATCACTTCCCCCTCCAACCATCACCACCACCTCCTCCTCCTCCCCCTCCAACCACCACCACCACCCCCTCCTCCAACCATCACCCCCTCCTCCTCTAACCACCTCCTCCTCCTCTAAACCACCACCACCACCTCCTCCTCTTCCAACCACCACCACCACCACCTCCTCCACCTCCCACTCACCGTGGCCGGGGTTGCGGCCGAACGCCGACCTGCGGCCGTCGTCCGAGAACACTACGAGCATCGGCTCCCTGCCGGCCTGGCGGTCCTTGCCGCTCACGAACTTCAGGGTGTCCCCTCGGTCGGGCCACGGGGGGCGGCCCGCCGGCCCGTCCCCCCGCTCTGCGTGGCCGTGGGACAGGTTCTCCACCGTGACCAGCAGGCCATGGTTGGAGCTGCGGTCCGACACCCAGGACTGGACCTGCCGGGGTCGAAGGGGGCGGGGGGTGGGTCACGATGGTGGTGAGAGTGAGTTGCCGCCATGAGATCTGAGCTGCCTAAAGGTCTGTGGGTGGGCCTGTGTGTGGGCCCGTGGGTGGGCCTGTGGGTGGGCCTGTGCGTGGACCTGTGGGTGGGCCTGTGGGTGGGTCTGTGGGTGAGCCAGTGTGTGTGCCTGTGGGTGGGCCTGTGGGTGGGCCTGTGGGTGGGCCTGTGTGTGGGCCTGTGCGTGGGTCTGTGAGTGGGCCTGTGGGTGAGTCTGTGGGTTGGCCTGTGGGTGGGCCTGTGGGTGAGCCTGTGTGTGGGCCTGTGGGTGGGCCTGTGTGTGGGCCTGTGTGTGGGCCTGTGGGTGGGCCTGTGGGTGAGCCTGTGTGTGGGCCTGTGGGTGGGCCTGTGTGTGGGCCTGTGAGTGGGCCTGTGGGTGGGCCTGTGGGTGGGCCTGTGAGTGCGTCTGTGTGTGGGCCTGTGGGTGGGCCTGTGAGTGGGTCTGTGCGTGGGCCTGTGGGTGGGCCTGTGGGTGGGCCTGTGGGTGAGCCTGTGTGTGGGCCTGTGGGTGGGCCTGTGTGTGGGCCTGTGTGTGGGCCTGTGGGTGGGCCTGTGGGTGGGCCTGTGGGTGGGCCTGTGTGTGGGCCTGTGTGTGGGTCTGTGGGTGGGCCTGTGGGTGGGCCTGTGCCAAGAGGGAGGGTGGGCCTGTGTGTGAGTCTGTGTGTGGGCCTGTGGGTGGGCCTGTGAGTGGGTCTGTGTGTGGGCCTGTGGGTGGGCCTGTGAGTGGGTCTGTGGGTGGGCCTGTGGGTGGGCCTGTGCCAAGAGGGAGGGTGGGCCTGTGGGTACTTACCGCGCGAGTCACCGTGAACACCTCCCACGTGGCCCCGTACACAGACACGAGGCGCGAGGCCACGAGGCGGCCGCTCGTGGTGTGCCCCTGGACGGGAGGTGCACCGTGCAGCGCAAACACGTTCACCTGGGGGGGAGGAGGGTGGGGAGTACAGAGTGAGCGTGTTAGTTAGTGAGTGTTACCTGGCAGTAGTGAGTGTATTAGTGAGTGAGTGTATTAATGAGTGAGTGTATTAGTGAGTGAGTGAGTGTATTAGTGAGTGAGTGTATTAGTTATTTAGTGAGTATGTGAGTGAGTGTATTAGTTAGTTAGTGAGTGTATGAGTGAGTGAGTGTATTAGTGAGTGAGTGTATTAGTTATTTAGTGAGTATGTGAGTGAGTGTATTAGTTAGTGAGTGAGTGTATGAGTGAGTGAGTGTATTAGTGAGTGAGTGTATTAGTTATTTAGTGAGTATGTGAGTGAGTGTATTAGTTAGTGAGTGAGTGTATGAGTGAGTGAGTGTATTAGTGAGTGAGTGTATAAGTTATTTAGTGAGTATGTGAGTGAGTGTATTAGTTAGTGAGTGTATTAGTGAGTGCGTGTATTCGTTAGTGCGTGTATTAGTGAGTGAGTGACCGTTACCTGACAGTAGTGAGTGTATTAGTTAGTGAGTGAGTGTATGAGTGAGTGTGTGTATTAGTGAGTAAGTGTATTAGCGAGTGCGTGTATTAGTGAGTGAGTGAGTGTATTAGTGAGTGAGTGAGTGTATTAGTGAGTGCGTGTATTAGCGAGTGTGTGTATTAGTGAGTGAGTGTATTAGTGAGTGCGTGTATTAGTGAGTGAGTGACCGTTACCTGGCAGTAGTGAGTGAGTGTATTAGTGAGTGTATGAGTGAGTGAGTGTATGAGTGTGTGTATTAGTGAGTGTATTAGTGAGTGAGTCACCTGGCAGTAGTGAGTGTATTAGTGAGTGTATTAGTGAGTGTATTAGTGAGTGTATGAGTGAGTGAGTGTATTAGTGAGTGAGTGTAAGAGTGAGTGAGTGTATGAGTGGGTGAGTGTATTAGTGAGTGTATGAGTGAGTGAGTGTATTAGTGAGTGCGTGTATGAGTGAGTGAGTGACCGTTTCCTGGCAGTAGTGAGTGAGTGTATTAGTGAGTGTATGAGTGAGTGAGTGTATGAGTGTGTGTATTAGTGAGTGTATTAGTGAGTGAGTGTATTAGTGAGTGTGTTACTGAGTGAGTCACCTGGCAGTAGTGAGTGTATTAGTGAGTGTATTAGTGAGTGAGTGTATGAGTGAGTGAGTGTATGAGTGGGTGAGTGTATTAGTGAGTGTATGAGTGAGTGAGTGTATTAGTGAGTGCGTGTATGAGTGAGTGAGTGACCGTTTCCTGGCAGTAGTGAGTGAGTGTATTAGTGAGTGTATGAGTGAGTGAGTGTATTAGTGAGTGCGTGTATGAGTGAGTGACCGTTTCCTGGCAGTAGTGAGTATATTAGTGAGTGAGTGTATGAGTGAGTGTATTAGTGAGTGTGTGTATGAGTGAGTGTATGAGTGAGTGTGTGTATGAGTGAGTGTATGAGTGAGTGTATGAGTGAGTGTATTAGTGAGTGTGTGTATGAGTGAGTGTATGAGTGAGTGTATGAGTGAGTGAGTGTATGAGTGGGTGAGTGTATTAGTGAGTGTATGAGTGAGTGAGTGTATTAGTGAGTGCGTGTATGAGTGAGTGAGTGACCGTTTCCTGGCAGTAGTGAGTATATTAGTGAGTGAGTGTATGAGTGAGTGTATTAGTGAGTGTGTGTATGAGTGAGTGTATGAGTGAGTGTATGAGTGAGTGTGTGTATGAGTGAGTGTATGAGTGAGTGTATGAGTGAGTGTATTAGTGAGTGTGTGTATGAGTGAGTGTATGAGTGAGTGTATGAGTGAGTGAGTGTATGAGTGGGTGAGTGTATTAGTGAGTGTATGAGTGAGTGAGTGTATTAGTGAGTGCGTGTATGAGTGAGTGAGTGACCGTTTCCTGGCAGTAGTGAGTATATTAGTGAGTGAGTGTATGAGTGAGTGTATTAGTGAGTGTGTGTATGAGTGAGTGTATGAGTGAGTGTATGAGTGAGTGTATTAGTGAGTGTATGAGTGAGTGTATTAGTGAGTGTGTGTATGAGTGAGTGTATGAGTGAGTGTATGAGTGAGTGTATGAGTGAGTGTATGAGTGAGTGTATTAGTGAGTGTATGAGTGAGTGAGTGACCGTCACCTGGCAGTAGTGAGTGTATGAATGAGTGAGTGTATTAGTTAGTGAGTGTATGAGTGAGTGAGTGTATTACTTAGTGAGTGAGTGACTGAGTGTGTGACCGTCACCTGGCAGTAGTGCTGCTGGTGTCTCCGCGGCGACGAGTGCGAGTAGGAGCCGCCCGCGTGCTCCCCACCGCTGCCACCAGGTGGCGCCGCCGCCACCCCCGCCGCAGCACCACGTGACTGCCCGTGACGCGTGCGGAACACGTGCAGCTCGGCCGAGAGCACGCGCTCGGCACGTGCCACCCGCGCCACGTCGAACACGAATAGCGAGCGCTCGGACTCCGCTGGCGAGCGCGGAGACGAGAGGAGAGGGACACGCAAACGAGCGGGTATGAGTACGGGGATCATGTCCGCAACTCTGCGGCAGAGGTCGCAAACAGGTTTTGATTCCTTACCCGTACCCGTACCCGGCCGCACCAGGGTCGCAAACGGGTGTTGATTCTTGGTTCTTTCGTGACTTTACCGAAAGAACCAAGATTATTTCCCTGCAGTCATGAAAGCTTTAAATCGGGTTTTGATTCCTTACCTGTACCCGTACCCGGCCGCACCAGTGTCGCAAATGGGAACCCGTACCCGGCCGGTTACGGGTTCCCGTTCCCTACCCGTACCCGTACCCTACCCGAAATGAGTGACAAACGGTTACCCTTCTATCTGGCAACAAAACTGACACCTTTTTTTACAAGGAGTCATGTTTGCATAGACCACAACACCTGCAGTCGTAATGCAAACAAAAAACACAACTCTGATAATGTATGCACTGTCCTTGAAGTTGATTGGTCCACACCCGAAACAGCTTTCCTTAGAGCCTAGTCTCACATGGGTTGGACCAGATGACGCCAAAAGGCGCACAACTCAAAGACAATGCACCATCAGAGTATGAGAGCTCGGGGTAAGAATTTACACCATTGGAACCTCGTAAAAAAGGTGTCAGTTTTGTTGCCAGATAGAAGGGTAAAAAAAATAATTATCATATTTTTTACTGGCAAATGAGGTTCCAATGGTGTAATTATAACTATTAAAAAAATACTTGAAACTTTGTAGTAGAACGAAGCAAAACGGAGAGTACAATTATAGCAATCACATATTCATTCCACAGAATGAAAAGCCCTGGTAGAATCATTAGAATCAAAATGTTCAATAACAATCATTAAAAAAAACATTATAAAATGTATGCTTCTCCATTCTCCCATGAAGAAGCAAAATGTTCCTTCATCATGGAATAAATCAAAGGTGACCTTAGTAAATTTAAACAATCAAACAGGTAATAATGAAAATTAATCAAAATTTGTGTTGTTATAACAATTCCATTTAATTAACATTTATTTAAAGTTGCGCATTTTGATGTGACGTCACATTTGTCAACCCTCCCCCCCTCGTCACACATCGTCATAAATGTCTGACCCCCCTCCTCCCCCCTAGGTGCGTGACGTCATATATGGACGGCCCCATACACTATAAACACATACTACACGCTACATACATACTACACACATGCTACACACACACTACACACATGCTACACACACACTACACACACACGACACACATACATTATACACTACGTACACAAAGACAAAGATCCCCCGTGTAGCCTCTAACAGCCTGTAGGGGCAAGTGCTGTTAGCGAGCAGCAACCTATGAAGGCTACCGGCGCTGTGGCACACGAGGGGGTGGGTGGCCAGCACCACGCCCGGCCGCCTTTGTTTTCCCAGTGCGTCAGGTACTAATTTGAGGCTGAGTCGATCTAGGGGAGGCCCAGGACCGGTGCACGTACTGACACACAAAGACAGAAGTCCCTAGGAAGCCTTTTGCGGACTGTCATCACTGAACACCACCTCTCTCTCTTCATCTGTGTCTCACCACCACTCACCACCACCACCAATCACCACCACTCACCACCGCTCACCACCAACACCACTCACCACCATCACCACCATCACCACCATCACCATCACCACTCACCACCACCACTCACCACCACCACTCACCACCACAACTCACCACCACCACTACCACTCACCACCACTCACCACCACCACCACTCATCACCACTCACCACCACCACTCATCACCACTCATCACCACCACCACCCCAACTCACCTCTCTCTCTTCACCTGTGTCTCACCACCATCACCACCATCACCACCATCACCACCACTCACCACCATTCACCACTCACCATCACCACTCACCACCACCACTCACCACCACTCACCACCACCACCACTACCACTCACTACCACTCACCACCACTCACCACCACCACCACTCACCACCACTCATCACCACCACTCACCACCACCACTCCTCACCACTCACCACCACTCCCACTCACCACCACCACTCAACACCACCAATCACCACTCAACCCCAACTCACCACTCACCACCACTCACCACCACCACCCCAACTCACCTCTCTCTCTTCACCTGTGTCTCACCACCACCACCACCACCACCCACCACCACCACTCCTCACCACCCCAACTCACCTCTCTCTCTTCACCTGTGTCTCACCACCACCACTCACCACCACCCCAACTCACCTCTCTCTCTTCACCTGTGTCTCACCACCACCACCACCACCACCACCACCCACCACCACCACTCCTCACCACCCCAACTCACCTCCCTTCTCTTCACCTGTGTCTCACCACCACCACCACCACCCCCACCCCCCACCACCACTCCTCACCACCCCAACTCACCTCTCTCTCTTCACCTGTGTCTCACCACCACCACTCACCACCACCACCACTCACCACCACCAATCCTCACCACCACTCCCACTCACCACCACCACTCAACACCACCAATCACCACTCAACCCCAACTCACCACTCCCCACCACTCACCACCACTCACCTCTCTCTTCACCTGTGTCTCACCACCACCACTCACCGACACCACCACTCACCACCACTCCCCACCACTCACCACCACTCACCACCCCCACCACTCACCACCATCACCACCACTCACCACCACCCCAACTCACCTCTCTCTCTTCACCTGTGTCTCACCACTCACCACCACTCACCACCACCACTCACCTCTCTTTCTTCACCTGTGTCTTACCACTCACCACCACTCACCACCACTCACCACCACCACTCACCTCTCTCTCTTCACTTGTGTCTCACCACCACCACTCACCACCACCACTCACCACCACTCACCTCTCTCTCTCTCTTTACCTGTGTCTCACCACCACCACTCACCTCTCTCTCTTCACCTGTGTCTCACCACCATCACCACCATCACCACCATCACCACCACTCACCACCATTCACCACTCACCATCACCACTCACCACCACCACTCACCACCACTCACCACCACCACCACTACCACTCACTACCACTCACCACCACTCACCACCACCACCACTCACCACCACTCATCACCACCACTCACCACCACCACTCCTCACCACTCACCACCACTCCCACTCACCACCACCACTCAACACCACCAATCACCACTCAACCCCAACTCACCACTCACCACCACTCACCACCACCACCCCAACTCACCTCTCTCTCTTCACCTGTCTCACCACCACCACCACCACCACCACCCACCACCACCACTCCTCACCACCCCAACTCACCTCTCTCTCTTCACCTGTGTCTCACCACCACCACCACCACCACCCACCACCACCACTCCTCACCACCCCAACTCACCTCTCTCTCTTCACCTGTGTCTCACCACCACCACTCATCACCACCACTCACCACCACCACTCCTCACCACTCACCACCACTCCCACTCACCACCACCACTCAACACCACCAATCACCACTCAACCCCAACTCACCACTCACCACCACTCACCACCACCACCCCAACTCACCTCTCTCTCTTCACCTGTGTCTCACCACCACCACCACCACCACCCACCACCACCACTCCTCACCACCCCAACTCACCTCTCTCTCTTCACCTGTGTCTCACCACCACCACCACCACCACCACCCACCACCACCACTCCTCACCACCCCAACTCACCTCTCTCTCTTCACCTGTGTCTCACCACCACCACTCACCACCACCACCACTCACCACCACCAATCCTCACCACCACTCCCACTCACCACCACCACTCAACACCACCAATCACCACTCAACCCCAACTCACCACTCACCACTCCCCACCACTCACCACCACTCACCTCTCTCTTCACCTGTGTCTCACCACCACCACTCACCACCACTCCCCACCACTCACCACCACTCACCACCCCCACCACTCACCACCATCACCACCACTCACCACCACCCCAACTCACCTCTCTCTCTTCACCTGTGTCTCACCACTCACCACCACTCACCACCACCACTCACCTCTCTCTCTCTTCACCTGTGTCTCACCACCACCACTCACCACCACCACTCACCACCACTCACCTCTCTCTCTCTCTTTACCTGTGTCTCACCACCACCACTCACCACTCACCACCACCACCACTCACCTCTTTCTCTTCACCTGTGTCTCACCACCACCACCACTCACCACCACTCACCACCCCACCACCCCCACCACTCACCACCACCACCACTCACCACCACTCACCACCCCACCACTCCTCACCACCACCACTCCTCACCACCACCACCCCAACTCACCTTTGGTGAGGAAGCTCCGCACGACGTTGCCGGCCAGCAGGCCGGGCTCCCGGCTCACGCCGCCCTCCCCAGACACAGCCTCGTAGAGGTCCACCATGAACTGGGGCGGCCGGGTGGACGTGGAGTCGCGACCTCCACCTCCTCCACCACCTCCTCCACCTCCTCCACCTTCCTCGGCGACCTCTCCCCGCTCGAGGCCGAACAGCTCTCGGAGTCTCCGCAGCGCCTCCGTCTTCATCTCGTCGGCGTCTCGCCTCGAATCATCATCATCATTCTCCATCTCCTCCACCACCACCGCCTCCTCCGCCGCCACGTGCGATTCGTTCAGATGATGACGATGACGCTGCTGCTGCTCCTGTTGATGTTGTTGTTGATGTTGTTGTTGATGTTCTGCTGCTGGAGGCTCGTCATCGACTTGGTTGAGTTGGAAGAGGTGCTGGTGGTCGAGCAGGTGGTGCTGGTTGTTGTTGGTGGTGGTGGTGTTGGTGGTGGCTGCTAGCGCTGCTGCTGCGTGGTGGTGCTGCTTGTGGTTGTTGTTGGTGGTGGCTGCTGCTGCTGCTTGTGCTGGTTGGTGGTGCTGCTTGTGGTGGTGGTGGTGGTTGGTGGTGGTGGTGGTGTTGTTGTTGTCCACCACCACCACCCCACGTGGCAGCGCGGCCACGCACAGCGCAGTTGCGAGGAGCGCCGCTAGAGTCGAGATGGAGGTGGTGGTGACGGTGGTGACGGTGGCGACTCTCATGGCGAGAGGTCTTGGAGACCTGCTCCCCTCTCTGTCCGTCTGTCTCTGTGTGTGTCTGTGTGTGTCTCTGTGTGTGTGTCTGTGTGTGGCTGTGTGTGTCTCTGTGTGTGTTTGTGTGGCTGTGGGTGTGTGTGGCTGTGTGTGTCTGTGTGTGTGTGGCTGTGGGTATGTGTCTGTGTGTCTCTGTGTGTGTCTCTGTGTGTGTCTGTATGTCTCTCTGTGTGTGTCTGTGTGTGAGTCTCTCTGTCTCTGTGTGTGTCTCTGTGTGTCTCTGTGTCTGTGTGTGTCTCTCTGTGTGTCTCTGTGTCTGTATGTGTGTCTGTGTTTGTCACTGTGTCTGTGTGTGTCTCTGTGTCTGCCTGTGTGTGTCTCTGCGTCTGTCTCTGTGTCTGTGTGTGTCTGTGTGTGTCTCTGTGTCTCTGTGTGTGTCTCTCTGTGTGTGTCTCTGTGTGTGTCTCTCTGTGTGTGTCTCTGTGTGTCTCCGTGGCTCTCTGTGTGTGTCTGTGTCTGTCTCTGTGTCTGTATCTCTGTGTCTGTGTGTGTCTCTGTGTGTCTCTCTGTGTGTGTCTCTGTGTCTGTGTGAGCACCTCTCTCTCCCCGCTCTAATCTCTCACCAGGAATCTGCGTGCACTACGATACCTCGTGTCCCCCTAGACGAATGTGCGGCAGGATGCCGGGTGCCCTACCTGGGCACGAGAGTGTATTGGCTGGTCCAGGACACACACATGGAACTACCGCTGGGTCTGTCCCCCAGTATTTATATGTAGAATGTGTAACAATACGAGTGTCTTGTATGTTAGTCTGTGTGCGAGTGTATGAGAGTGTATGTGAGTATGTGTATCAGTCTGTGGTGAGTCGAGGGAGCTTGCAAGCCTCTGTGATGCCCGCGTCAAATAAGCCTTGGGGGTCTGATCAGTCAGTCGTGGTCGTGGTGGTGGTGGTCGAGGTTGATGCTGGATCTGTCCACGTTTATACCCGTGGCCTCGGTAAGCCTCTATATATACATACACACACGTGTGTGTGAACACACACACACGTGTGAACACACACACACCACGTGCGCGCGCGTGTGTGTGTGTGTGCACAGTCCACCGGCTCGTGTTTGCGTGGGGGCTGAGAAGGAACTCCGATATAATTATCTGTAAGAAGGAAGACAAACAGCGGAGGCATCCCCCTCCCTTGGTCGTGTTAGCAAGACCACCACCACCAACTACCACCACCACCACCGCTACCACCACTACCACCACCAACAACTACTACCACCACCACCGCTACCACTACCACCACCTACTACCATCACTACCACTACCAACCACCACCAACTACCAACCACCGCTCCCACTACCACCACCAGCAACCACCACTACCACAACCACCACCACTACCACCACCAACAACCACCACCACCACCACTACCACAACCACCACCACCACCACCACCACCAACCACCACCACCAACCACCATCACTACCAACCAGTGCCGCTAGTTCGGGGACTGTAGTCGCGTTTGTTGTTGCGAAGTTGCCCTAAATATAAATAAAAACACGTTGATATTAAAACACAATTATTTTTTACTTGCACCTTGTGTTTTTTTAATTTGCTATACGGCCAGATAGTACGACAAATCGCTACCATTAAAAACCCGGTCGTTCGTAAAAGTCGAAGGCGGTATAGTACTATAGTAATAGAGCAAGTGCAGAACCACTGGACCGGAATTGATAGCTTAAAAGCGTTTAGCGCGGGGCCCTTGAAAGTGTAGTAGCTACTACTACACATGTAGCAGCTACTACATGTGTAGTAGTAGCTACTACACTACACACACACAGACACACACACACACAGACACACCAATACCAATACAGCCGCCATTCTCCACGAAGTGATGGTGACGTCACCACGACGCCTGTGCCAGGCTAGGTGCACTTCGAGGCTATCACGTGAAGTGTCGAAGGTTCGCTGCTGACAGGAGGTCACGGGGCAAACCCAGGTGCCACGGGTCGACTGACTGAGATGACTGGCTGATGCACCACCTGTGCCCCCTACTGTGCCAACTTGCTGTGCTTTATCCGCCCGGCGCTCCGCTCGTTGTTGTGAGCGTCGCTCCTCCGCCCTCCGTTGTTGTTGGAGGGCGACTGCCTCCAACTGCCCAGTAGCGTCCTTCATGAGCCTCCTCTACTGAGGCCGATCTTGACACCGCTGGTACCGGTCATCGGCAAGTCCAATCAGCTCCACGTCCTCCTGTACCACATCACTCCATCTCTTCTCTAGCCCGTGCCGCGCCCGTTTAGCCCCCTCTATCCGGCCGAACAAAAGCTGTTTAGGCATGCGGTGGCTGGGCATGCGGGCTACATGGCCCAGCCAACGCAGCCTTGCCTGCCGGAGGAGCTCACCGATGGGACTTTCGAGGATTTGTGAGCTCCTCACACAATCCAGCCTGCAGGTTAAACCCATAATGGATCGTAGGCAGACCAGCCTGAATGTTTCTAACCGGCGAAGATGCTCCATTAGGGGGGTCCACGTTTGGCAAGCGTAGAGAAGGGACGGCATGACCGTGGCCGAGAAGACCCGAAGCTTCGTGCGGAGCGACAGACCAGGCAGCTTCCACACAGCGTTACGCAACCGATCGACTGATTCTGAGTGAGACCTCTGCTGTTAAACCAGAGCCGGTCATGAGCACAATGCCCAGATAATCGTCACTGATGTTGGCCGTGAGCGGGAATCGAACTCGGGTCGCCGGGTTCGTAGCGCAGCGTAGCGCTAACCACTACACCACCGCTCCCCACACACACACATGTACACACACATACACAAACATACACACACACATACACACAGACACACATACAAACGTACATACACACACATACACACGTACACACACATACACACATGCACACACGTACACACACATACACACATACACATACAAACATACACACACATACACACACGTACATACACATACACACACATGCACACACATACAAACACATATACACACACACATACAAACATATACACACATACACACACAAACACACGTACACACACACACGTACACACACACATACACACACATACACACACATACACACACACATACACACACATACACACACATACACACGTACACACACACACGTACACACACAAACATAAACACATACATACACACACGTACACACACACACGTACACACACAAACATAAACACATACACACACAAACACATACACACACACACAAACACGTACATACATACACACACGTACACACACATCCACATATAACAGACTGTCGGGGCAAGTGCTGCGGACAGCACAGTCTGTGGCGAGGCTATACGGGTGACCTTTAGCTGTTGCTGCCCCCGCCACCCCTGCCCCCAACGCGTGCCCATCCGCTGCCCCCTGGGGGAGCCATCAGCCCCCCGCGGGGCAGCGAAAAGCGCCGATGATTGTCTCCAGGGGCGTCTCGCGGCCGGGGGCCATTAGCGGATTAGTAGGAGCGAGTTGACGAGTCGTGTGGGATTTGTTTAGTCAGCTGGTGAGTGGGTGAGTGGGTGAGTGGGTGAGTGGGTGAGGTGAGTGGGTGAGTGGGTGGGTGGGTGAGGTGGGTGAGGTGAGGTGAGTGGGTGAGGTGAGTGGGTGAGGTGAGTGGGTGAGGTGAGTGGGTGAGGTGAGTGGGGCCATTAGCGGATTAGTAGGAGCGAGTTGACGAGTCGTGTGGGATTTGTTTAGTCAGCTGGTGAATGGGTGAGTGGGGTGAGTGGGTGAGTGGGTGAGGTGAGTGGGTGAGTGGGTGAGGTGAGTGAGGTGAGTGGGTGTTGGTGAGTGGGTGAGGTGAGTGAGTGAGTGGATGAGGTGAGTGAGTGGGTGAGTGAGTGGGTGAGGTGGGTGTTGGTGAGTGGGTGAGTGAGTGAGTGGGTGAGGTGAGTGGGTGGGTGAGGTGAGTGGGTGTTGGTGAGTGGGTGAGTGGGTGTTGGTGAGTGGGTGAGTGGGTGAGTGGGTGTTGGTGAGTGGGTGAGGTGGGTGAGGTGAGTGGGTGAGGTGAGTGGGTGTTGGTGAGTGGGTGTTGGTGAGTGGGGTGAGTGGGTGAGTGGGTGTTGGTGAGTGGGTGAGGTGAGTGGGTGTTGGTGAGTGGGTGTTGGTGAGTGGGGTGAGTGGGTGAGTGGGTGTTGGTGAGTGGGTGAGGTGAGTGGGTGTTGGTGAGTGGGTGTTGGTGAGTGGGGTGAGTGGGTGAGTGGGTGTTGGTGAGTGGGTGAGGTGAGTGGGTGTTGGTGAGTGGGTGTTGGTGAGTGGGGTGAGTGGGTGAGTGGGTGTTGGTGAGTGGGTGAGGTGAGTGGGTGTTGGTGAGTGGGTGTTGGTGAGTGGGGTGAGTGGGTGAGTGGGTGTTGGTGAGTGGGTGAGGTGAGTGGGTGTTGGTGAGTGGGTGTTGGTGAGTGGGGTGAGTGGGTGAGTGGGTGTTGGTGAGTGGGAGAGCGAGTGGACGAGTCGTGTGGG